TGTTTTTTCTGCTCTTTTTCAATCTGTCTGGCAGGATATTTTTGAATAAAGTCCCTTTTCAGAAAAGTTTGATTCAGCTCATGCAGATCCTTTGAACATATGAGATTGACATATGGTGAATAATCAAGTCCAAGCTACAGATACTGTGCAAAGGTTTTGGGTGGGTGATAGAACTATGCCTTATAGTGAGCAAGTTCCTTGTGTAAAGTCGCGTGTGTGACTTTAAATTTATTTTTAAGCTGGCAGCCACAGTCTGAATCCAGAAGGATGATGCAAAATCTTAACAACAAAATACAGCGAATGAACCTGTAGTGCTGATTTGTTCTTGTGCAGTACTATATCACTGCTGCTGTCAGTGCTCTGGTCCAAAACGAAGACCTGCAGTGCAGCAGAAAAGAAACATTCAGCACTACTGAATCTGGGAGGTGATCAGCTCTCAACTAGAGAGCACATGGGCTGTAGTAGTACAAGGATGTTCCATGATTTTAGAGACTTCTTTTTCTAGCAGAAACCCTTTATAAAAACATTTATCCTTATGAAGTACTATTTTCCAGGATAGCTCATTTTATGTAGCCTTACTGTTTAAACCTTTAGTCTTCTCTACCTCAGAATATCCATCTAGTATGTTTTATGAGTAGCACCAATGGTTGGAGGGAATGCTACTACAAGCAAAAAAAGAAACAAATTTTTTTAGGTCGGTGAGAAGGAAGCTAAATACTAGGTAGCAGTCTGAAAGCAAATCTAACATTAGGGTTCATTAGGAAAAAAGCAGAGGGTAAAACAGAGGCCATTGTTGTGCCTCTAAATGCAGACTTTGCCACATCCAGAACACAAGTGTAGTTCTGGTCTCTGTCAAAGAGGATATTGAAGATAACTAAAGAACTGGAGAAGACTCAAAGCAATTTCAGTTTGAGAAATGACCTTGTAAGGAGGGACTTTCATGTCTGGTAAGGAGATGGTTCCTGGGAGATTGGAGATTATAAAGCCTATGACAGATTAATATAATGTCCAGTTTCTTCTGTGACCCAGTGTAAGTACTGGGGACATGAAAAGATTAGAGACAGGTTCAAAACAAACAAAAAAAAAGGTAGTTCTTGAGGAAGTTGGTAGTAGAGGTATGAAGCTACTTCATAAAGGGTGTGTGACTGCTAATAGTTTATCTGGCCTTAGGGGAAGACTGGGCAAGTTTGTGGAAGACAAGTTCACTGAAGGTTACTGAACAGAGTCCTCAACCCCATCTGATTCCGGAAGTCCTGAGCTGACATTAGATAAGATGCTGACAGAGGTATTTAGGGGAAATTGATATTTGTTTGCCTTGCACTTGAGTTTCTGGGCTAGAAACTGTAAAGGTTGGGGGGTGCAAATGCTCAAAGTGCTGTGAATAGTTAACTTCTGTCATTAGCATCACTGTAACTGAGTCTCTAGAAGCCCAGGAAAGGGGTGCAAAGCTGTACCGTTTCCTCCAGGCTTCTTCAAGCCTCCTCCTGCTGCTGCTTGTGGCCTTCTGTGAGACTCTCCTTGTAGTTTTGCTGCAGCCAGATTCTGTATGTTGTTTAGCCTTTCTGTATTTCAGTTGCTTCCTGGCCATGGCCTTTCTGCTCCTTCAGAGAGTGATTTGGATCTCATCCATCCTTCTGTTTTCTAATTGTAGTCATCTTGTGAGATGCAAACACTTGTTGTTTAGCCAAAATAAATAAAACAGAGGCAGGGTGAAATATAGCACAGATTTGAGGATATTTGTTTGCAAGACCAGAAAATAGAAATAGTGACAGCTGTTAACAGCATGAACAAACTGTCTGTAGTGGTTCCTTACCAAAGAAATATGTTAAACCTTTCCCAGTTTTGCCTTATGTTCTTTTCCAAGCTGTTTATTAATAAAACTAGCAGTCATGATGACAGATTGGCTTTCAGAAAGCTGTGTGTGAAAGTATCTTTAAAAAGAATTCTTCCTGGTAAAATTCCATCATCAAACAAAATTCCAGTTCCTGTGCATTTACCTCACCCAGGCATTGTAAGGAAGATGTTTTAGAGTAGGGGAAGGTGTCTTATACTTGTGTAGGGTTAGTATGTAGTATTTGGATAAATTTGAGCTGTAAAGGTCAACTCTTTCTAAAAGATTTGTATGGCTGAGTTCCTAGTCTAACTTTGTGTAGTTTTGCAGCATTGCACAGGAAGTGGCTAGAACTTAGAAAAGTAAATTTAAGCCTACCCTAGTTCCAGTAAGGTTTTTTTTTTTCCAAATGCTGGATTTCTCACCTGTTAAATGGATGAAGCCACATGCATCAGGAAAAGGAGATATTCTACTACAGGTTATAGGCTTAAAGGAGATGAGCAGATTTCTATTTCAACTGAAGTCAAATTACAATCCCTTTTTATTATTTAAGTCCACACTCGCAAGAAGTAATAAGCGGGGGAGGGAGGGCAAGGCAAGAACAAGACTCAGCCCTGTGTACTGCTCCTAATGCTGTCAAAGTAGCAGGGGATAAACCAACCAAAGAGCACCCAGGAAGGCAATCATCCAGTGCCACATTTTTTTAGGACACAATGTGCTGATCCCTAGTGTCAGTGGAGGGGAGGCCCTATATGATGTGTGTGGAGGGATTTGCCGGACAGTGATGTGAAGATGCCCCTTAACTGCTCCTTAAAAAGGCAGATGGTAAATGCACCCCTATGTAATGAATTGAGATACAAAACCGGAGGTTCTTTTCTGGTGCTTTATTTATTATTTAAGTCCGTCATCAATCTTTACAGTTTGGGAGTCAATCTGTATATTTCATTGGTACTATATAAGTGTAAGCATGCAGATGCTCTGCGAGTCACCTCTTCAGAACATTGCTTTTCCAATTATAAGCTGAAGCTTTAGTTCAGAAGCTTTTTGGAATTGGTGAAATCTCTCTACTGCAGAGAGAAGCACAATTCTGTATTCCTTAGCAGTTTGAGAGGTAATGACTAGATTGAATAAAGATTACCTTGCCTGTATGCAATGTCTACTGAATATCACAGTTGATTTTATTCTTACTGGTGCATATTTGGTATATTTTAAAAACTCTCCTATATAGAGCTTGTAAAGGAATGTATGTAGGCCCTCTACTGATCGTCTTGAGAACAGGAAAGAGGAGAAGCTACCCTGCAATGCTTAAAATCCTGGCAAAACAGGCTTTTGGGGAAAGGGGAGATAAATGTAAGAGAGAGTAGGATCAGAAACTAAATTAAATAGGGCCATTCTGTAGTGTCACTAGAAAGATCTGCCTCCCTATCCCCTCCTGCCTGCAGCTGTAGTGAAAACAGGTTATCCTGCTCTAAGTAGAGTAAAATAAAATCCACTAAAAGATAAAGCTTTCAAAAAGGCCTATTCCAATGCCCTTTTTTGCTAATGTTTTAAAAATAGCTTTTTAAAATCCATCAAATCTTGTGTTTTTGAGTTCATTCGAGTTGTTTTCTCTTGTAATTTTTTTTCAGGCAGCGTCTGAGGGGGCGGAAAATCAACCTTGAGTGCTTTTGTATTTTAGGTTAGAACCTTCATCCTGTTGAGCTAAGGACAAATCCAGTAACAATTGCCAAATCTTCTTAAGTTTAAAGTGTCAATAGAGAAGGTCTTTCAGGGTCAGGTAATCGGGCAGTGCTCAGTATAAGCGTTTAACAGATACTCTTAGTCTGAGAAGCTGCTTGCCTCTACCAAGTCCTTCTGAATGCTTGTCATTGCTTCCCCTCATTTTTTGAGTGTGGCTATTTCGGGGAATGTTTTGTGTTGTGTTTTTTTTGTTTGTTTTAATGTTTGATTAGAACATGAGTTCAGTTTAAAGACTTGGAACTGATTGGTATCATGTCATCTTGTATACCATTGATTTTTGTGTATTGATATGTTGTAGTTCATCAGTGTTTTCAGAGATGGGCTAATACAGGAACATTACAAAAAAAGATGGGACATGATATTTCCTATATATCAGCATGGGCTTTATGCATCTCAGCTCCATTCTGTTATTACCGCTACTACAAATATTTTTCAAAAGACAAATTTGAGGTGGGGTGCATGTGTGGTTTGTTTGTTTTTTTGTTTGTTTGGTTAGGGGTGTGTGTGTGTGTTTTTTTTTTTTGGCAAAGCCATTTGAAAAGCTGCATCTGCAGCAGCATAGCACTTCCTGATTCACCACCTGTGTTCTGGTCCTGGTAGCTGTACTTTGTGGGACTTCTTGCAGCTGATGTCCCTAGAACATGCAGGTTTTCTTTGAAACCCAAGTACATGTTTTCCTTGAAGCTGCTGATTCCTTAAGTCTGGCAGCCTACATGGTGGTACATTACCAGCTGCCAAGGAGGGATACGAACCAAGGGTGAGACAAATTTCTGCAGAAGTTCAAGGGTGTTGGTAACAAGTTGAGAGTTGATTAAAAGCTGCTGACAGAATTTGGCTGCTCTTGCCAGATCTGTGCTGTCCTCGAACAAGGATAACGCATAAAACCATACTGGACAAATTCTTCAAAATCATTACTTTCTAACCTAAGGCACAGAGGAACTCTGCTATTGGTATCCATGGATAAATGGTTGCAGCATGTTTGTCTAAATACATGTGAAAGGTTGTGAGGCAAGAAGAAAGCAGCAAAGGAAGCATTCATGAGAGCCCAGGGCTGTGTTACTCTGCTTTGGAAGGCACTTGGGCACTGGTAACCTCTGGAGGGTTGAGAACCTCATTAGAGGAGAGCAATTTGAGCAAGATCCCCAGGGTGGAATCTTACCCCTGCTCCAGCAGGAGTTGAGCATGCTTATGATATCAGTTGACACAGCTGACACATAACTAGGCATTAACACTATACTAATATGGAGCCTTGTCCAACCTTAATAAATAAGTCAGTAAAAGTGGGTTTGCAAAGCCTTTGTACATTATGATAATTGTGTTCATAACGGCAGAGCTTGTCATTTCAAGTCCACTGCTTTTTAGCACTTTTCCTTTTTCACTTCTTCTTTTCTTTCCTTTTCTTGTTTTTCCCTTAATTTTATTTCTTTAGATCTAACTGGCTAAAACCGTGCTGTGGGAGACGAGCAGCTGTGTGGCAGGTATTTTTGCTCAGTGCAAGTCTCAACAGTTTCCTGGTAGCCTGTGTAGTATTGGTGGTGATTCTTCTGACTCTGGAACTCCTAATAGATATAAAGCTTCTCCAGTGTGAGTAGGAGGACTTTTTTTTTTTTTTTTTTTTAATTTTGATGAAATACAGGTTTAACTTGCTGGGTGGTTTTTGAAGAGGGGAGGTTTTGGGGATTTTATTTATTTATTTTTTCCTTCTATGGTGTAAATGATTGCTAGGCCAGGAAAGAATTGTGGTTTTGTGGAACCCTGATATAGTGAAGTCAGTCCCTGTCCTCTTGCTGGGCACGTTCAGTGTAGGACACTTTCAGAGACAGCAAGCAGAGTGTGTATGTAGGCTTCTGCACATATGTCATTAGTCCCTGAAAAGGTCTGTCCTTCAGGACAGCTACTTTCTGTATACACAGAAGAAAAAGATGCTTTGTGCATGGTTAATTTCCCTGACGCTTGTCACATGCATGTGGATAGCTGCAAATGAAGAACTTGCTAGCTTGGTGCTATCTCTATTGTTACTTTATCTTGACTGAGATTGGTAGGAGTTGAATATTTTTCTATCTTGTAATGCTCTAAAACAGTACAGACTTTCATTCTACTTTGCAAAAGTATTGTGAGCTGTTGAGTCTGAATTCACTCTACACAGGTTCCACAATGCAAATTTGAATGCTGTCTTGCTTCTTAATGCATCTTTTCTACTGCTTTTTTCCTCCATTCCCTTTTCTGCTTTATGTGACACAAATCTTACATGAACAGAAAAACCAGTTGCATTCTTTCTGCTGTTAAATGTTGAAGGGCAGCATGTAGCACCTCCCTACCATCTCATATGTGTTCAAACAATCCCATAAATGCAGCAATGTGTAGCCTAAGCGAGTCATGGCCTGCTATCTCCTATGGCAACTTTCGAAGTGAGCTAGTGAATCTCTTATTCTGAGGTGGTTTTATTCTCTTGAATTTAGCTCCTGATATTAGCGAATTGATTTCACTGGAAGGATTTAAGTATTATAATGAAGTAGGATTACTTTAAAGGTATAATGTTGGCAGTTACAGCCATTTTATAAAACCACATAAGATAGAAATCCCTGATCATGCTGCCTTTTCCATGCTGCTGTTGATGCTTGCCCCAGTGCTCTTGCACTTTTCTCTGACACTGCTCTGAGCATGGCTACTTTGTTACTCTTGTCTGTGCTCTTGAACTTACTTTCTACAGTCTCTGATAGTTTATCATTTTGGACTAAAACTCAAGATTTGGACTAAAAGTGTAGTTTTCAAGAGTCAGGAATCCTTGCTCTAATCTAACTTCTTATCAGGGGTCCTGTTCAACTGGGGGGTTCCAGATGAGGGGGAACTACAGACCTGTCAGCCTGACTTTGGTCTGGGGGACGGTTATGGAACAGATGATTCTGAGGGTGATCACATAGTGTGTGCAACACCCAGAGGATCAGGCCTAGCCAATGCACGGTCCTGCTCTTTAGTCCCAACAACCCCATGCAGCACCACAGGCTTGGGGCAGAGTGGGTGAAGAGCAGTGTGGCAGAAAGAGCGGGGATGTTGGCTGACAGCCAGCTGAAATTTCAAGAGGAAATGGCCTCAGGTTGCCAGGGGAAGTTCAGGTTAGAACTC